CCTCATTGCCACCCCCCTTGACAAGCCCACTTTCTTGAAATCCATCGTGAAATTCAAGGATTTGGGCTTTGACGTTGATGTTGTCACAGTGACGTTGCCCCTTAAAGAGGTTGGCTTGCCAGAAGACTCTGACAATCTGAAAAGGGTCACTTCGATGGAGATGCGCAAGCAATTTATGAGAGCCATCGTGATGCTGGACCAACAGCTCCAGCCGCTGATTGAGAAACTCGCCCCTGATTGTCTAATCTCGGACATGTTCCTCCCCTGGACAATCGATGTTGCGGCCAAGTGCGGCATTCCTAGGCTCGTTTTCCACAGGATGAGTGCCTTCTCAGTAGCTGGCACAGAATGTGTGAGGCTCTATGAGCCTCACAAGAATGCGTCCTATGATTCGGAGCCCTTTGTCATCCCCAACTTCCCTGGAGAAATCACACTGTCCAGGATGCAGTTGCCGGACTTTGTCAAGGAAGAGACTGAGTTAACCAAGTTCTCTGACGAGGTGAAGGAATCAGAGAAGACGAGCTTTGGAGTCGTCATGAACAGCTTCTATGAGCTCGAGCCAGCTTATGCAGACCATTACAGGACATTCCTAGGGAGACGATCCTGGTTAATTGGCCCGCTATCGCTGTGCAATAAGGAGATTGAGGACAAAGCACACGGGCAAGCAAGCATCCATTGACCAGCTCGAATGCCTCCAGTGGCTTGACTCGAGGCAAATCAACTCAGTGATCTACATTTGTTTCGGAAGCATAGTGAATTTCAATGCTGCTCAGCTCCACGAGATCGCGGTCGGACTAGAAGCATCAGGGCAACAATTCATCTGGGTGGTGAAGAAGGACCCAAATGTGGAAGAAGGGAAAGAAGAGTGGTTGCCTGATGGGTACGAATCAAGAATCTGAAACAAGGGTCTCATCATCAGGGGCTGGGCTCCTCAGATGCTGATTCTTCATCATGAGGTGACTGGGGGATTCGTGACGCACTGCGGGTGGAACTCGACCCTGGAAGTGGTCACGGCCGCCGTGCCAATGGTCACCTGGCGGGTGGAACTCGACCCTGGAAGTGGTCGGACTAGAAGCATCAGGGCAACAATTCATCTGGGTGGTGAAGAAGGACCCAAATGTGGAAGAAGGGAAAGAAGAGTGGTTGCCTGATGGGTACGAATCAAGAATCTGAAACAAGGGTCTCATCATCAGGGGCTGGGCTCCTCAGATGCTGATTCTTCATCATGAGGTGACTGGGGGATTCGTGACGCACTGCAGGTGGAACTCGATCCTGGAAGTGGTCACGGCCGCCGTGCCAATGGTCACCTGGCTGGTCGCGGTGGAGCAGTTCTACAACGAGAAGTTTGTGACCCAAGTGCCCAAGATCGGGGTTGACATCGGGGTGAAGAAGTGGGCGAGGTCGTTTGGCGACAGCATGAAGAGCGAGAGAGTGGAGGAGGCAGTGAGGAGAGTCCTGGTGGGTGAGGAAGCAGAGGAAATGAGAAGCAGAGCGAAAGCACTTGCAGAGATGGCAAGAGGGGCTGTCGAAGAAGGTGGGTCTTCTTGGTCTGATTTGGGTGCTCTGCTTCAAGAGCTCAGACTGCAGAGATCGGCTCACAACGAGAAGATCTGATTCATGACCGTAAGCAACCAACCTTGAATTTTTGATTCTGGAGAATATAACTGAAGAAATAGAAACCTTACAGAATCTCTGTTGAGGTGCAAAACTGGAGAAAAATGCTGTTTGTTGTTTCTTTTCAAGGGATATATCCTGGGAATGTTTTGAATTCATTTCTTTTGAGGTAGGAGTCAAAGTATACATGATCTTGAATTCGTTTGTGCCGAAGAAATCAAAGTTCGTCTCACAGTTGAAAATTTCAATTGCAAGATTCCGTGTGTACTTTCCCATTTCTGAATTCTATCCTTGACACAGAACTGGCGGAGAGATCTTTGCAACTTTATATTCCATAATTGTATGTGCACATCAACAGACGAAAAAGAAAAGGACAAAAAGAAAGAACCACGAATCCAAAGAAAAGAAGAGGATGACAAACTCAACCTCTGTCAGTCACATGTTAATGAAACATTTGGCTGTTGCACAATTCATCTTGTGATATTTTGGAGGTACTTTCAGCCCAAACCAGGTCGACCACTTCGGTTTGTCATCGACTCGAGTGAATTTCAAATTGCTGGCATGAAACTTTCACACCAATAAGAAGCTTGAGACGTCAGATTCATAGATTAGGCACTTTCAATCCTCAAGGTCGGGACTGGCATTATGGTTATAAAGCTGGGTTATAATTGTTGGAGATAGCATGTGAAGAGACGCTGCCTACAAAGCTGGGTTATGGTGGTTGGAGATGAGGTGTGAAGAGACGCTGCTAAGAAGGCAAAGAGGCGGATAGTCAAATCGTTGCTTTATTAATAAGTTTCTAATCAATTGATTGGGCTCACTCATTAGATCTTAAAATACTTAGTAATCTACTCCTAGATGCAGGGATGATAAATATTAATTTCATCGATAAGTTATGAATTACTTACAATTGTTGGCTTGAAACTTTCACACCAATAAGAAGCTTAAGACGTCATATTCGTAGATTGGGTACTCTCGATCTTCAAGGTCGGGATTGGCATTGTAGTTACAAAGCTGGGTTATGGTGGTTCGAGATAGCATGAGAAGAGACGCTGCTGAGAAGACGGAGAGGCGGATGGTCAAATCGTTAAAATATTAGTAAGTTCTTTTGATCAATTGAGTGGGCTCACTCACTCATTGGATCTTAAGATACTTGGTAATCTACTACTAGATGCGGGGATGATAAATATTTTACGGCCTAGTTGTCAAATATTACGGCACTCTGTAATCTACTGCTCGGTATTAGATTCGAAGATGGTGAAATCGCGAGTTCGGCGATGAAGTTACTGCTTGATTGATGGGTCCTCTTGTTAAATTTAGAGCGCTTGGTGATCGACTCTTGGAAACTGTTTGATGAGTTAAGTTGTTAAATCTAAAAACACTTTGTAATCTTACTATTGGAAGCTAAATATAATATGGATAAATCGTTGTTTTGTTTGTAAGTTACTAATAGTTCACCGGAATAGGAAAGTTTCTAGTCAAATTCTACTTATTGACGATATTGAAGATTGGGAAAATGATAGAAAAAAAGTCTATAAACATTAACCCAATGTGCAGGTCATTCTTGGACCTCTAGTTCATTCAACATGGCTCTTGAATTATTCTTAAATGTTCAATCTAATCCCCAAACTTTTAACTTGTTCAATCTAATACATTAACTTTCCATATGAAAGTCAAATCAATCCTTTAGTACTATTCACAAGATTTCATAATTACACTATTGTCTAGATTTTAGAATATCTTTTCATCACAATTCATTTCCTAAATTAGCAAAAAACAAAAACAAATACACTATCTTTTCACTACCTTTTTACCTTTTTTCGGTTTTTATAAATATTACTTTAGTTCCATTTAAGTGTATTTTAACTTATGATATCTATAATAATTAAAAAGTATGATCTTATTTAGAGTTATATCAGATTCATATTTTTGTCATTTTAATTTCCTAATGTACATATTTAACTAAATTTGCTTTGAATCATTTGCAAGTTACTAATAGTTGACTGTAAAAAAGAAATTGCCTATCAAATGTTACTTATGAACGACATTGAACACTAGAGCTTCTTGAAATTTATTAAGGAAAATTACCAAAAAATTCCTAAATATATTACACTTGTGCCAATTCAATCTTATCTTTTAATTTGGCAAATTTAATCTTAAACCTTTTGACAATTTGTCAAATTAGTCCTTCCGGCCAATTTTGACTGGAAATAAGTGACATGGACACTGACCATCTTATGTGGCAGGACAAGCGTTGACATAGAAATTTTTTGAATTTTTTTCTTCTCTTTTTATTTTTCTTTCTTTTCCTTTTATTTCTTTAAGCCTAGAAAGGGTTGCTGGTCAACCCTTGCCCGCTGCCCAGAGGGCTTCGCGGCCCTTGCCAAGTGGCCGACGAGAGTCGGTCGGCGAGTCTCGCTAGACTTCGAAGAAAAAAAAAGAAAAGAAAGAAAGAAAAATAAAATAAATTAAATTAATTATAAAAATTATAAAAATTGTTCACGTTAGCGCTAACTATCTAACGTGGCATTGCTTGCATCCACGTCAGCGATTTCTGGCCAAAATTGGCTAGAATGACTAAATTGACAAGTCGTCAAAAGATTTAGAATTGAATTGGTACAAATATAATATATTTATGACTCTTATGGTAATTTTCCCAATTTATTATCACCGAACTCAGTTCCTCCTTTCGGCAAATGGAACCACGTCCAACTTTCGACGGCATATACACATTTCCAATTTATAGTCATCTAACTTTTCTGTAGATTTTCTTCAATTCAAAGTAATGTCTCTCTTCATACCAAAAAATAAAGATAAAAATATTAGAAGATGTTTATCCGTAAGTTGGGGGGCGAAAAACGCTAGGCAATTGCTTAACCCTTTCTACAAGGTGGTAATCCCTCTGAGAAGGACATCCCCTTCCTCTTCATTGGCATCATCATGGGTCGTGTCCAAGCATTAGCCTTTCTTCCCCATGAAGATTGGAATCAATTCGCAATCCAAGCCAAGAGTCAAGACCTTGCCTGTTATCACTTGGCATGTGTTTCCTTCACAATGTTCATTTCTTCGAATAATCAATCACTGATTTGCTGCATGTTTTTTCATGACAGAAGGGAAGATATTCTCTCTTTCTCTCTCTCTCTCTCTGCTGATATTCCAAATGTTGCTCACGGCATTATCCATGGATCTTTAGGACCGCCCACATCAATGGCCTAAAGAAGGACGTATAGACTTGAACTACAAGCAAATCAATCTACCATCTGAAGAATTCTCTTCTTCTACCCGTACATTTCCTCTTTTTCTCTCCTTCCTCACCACATTACCCATATAACATGACCATTAGCAAAGACTATTTAAGTATTAACGATATGAACGTGGCATGCAAATCACAAGGCTTATAGAAATATATTCACATGGAGGCCTCTTCTTCCAATGCATGCGTCGACTATGCCACGACCGAAATTGTCTTCTTCGACCTCGAGACGACGGTGCCTAGAAAATCCGGACAGGGCTTCTCTGTGTTGGAATTCGGTGCCATCCTCGTCTGCCCACGGAAGCTCGTCGAGCTCGAGAGTTACTGCACTCTCATCAGGCCTCAGGATATCACAGCCGTCGGGACAAGATCGAGTCGCCAGGGGGGGATCACCCGGGATGCGGTCTTGGGGGCGCCCACGTTCGAAGAAGTAGCCGATAAGATATTCGGCATTTTGAACGGCAGGATCTGGGCGGGCCACAACATCCAGCGCTTCGACTGCGTCCGGATCAAGGAGGCATTCACCGAGATTGGTAGGGATGCCCCGGTTCCTGTTGGGTTGATCGATTCTCTGGGAGTCTTGACTGAAAAGTTTGGGCGCCGAGCTGGTAATATGAAGGTAGGTCGGTTTGTCTTGTCAAGTCAATATAGATACCTGACCATAAGCTTGGTCCTGACCAGCACGCTTTGTGTTCCTAATTGTATCAGATGGAAACCTTGGCTTCTTATTTTGGGCTAGGACAACAAAAGCACAGGTAATTGACATAGAATAATACCAGCAAAAAAGGACAAAAAAAACTACGATCAATCTGAGTCCTTTCAAGTTGTGATGCTAACCAAATCCAAGACATCTTTCCTTGATCAGGAGTCTCGATGACGTTCGCATGAATTTGGAGGTTGTCAAGCATTGCGCGACCGTGCTATTCTTGGTACCGACATTTCCTTCCATTTTATCAAACGCTTCAATTTGAAGTTCCCTCCACATGCTACACTTAGTCGATAAAATTGATTAGGGCTAGGTTTACTAAAAGATTAGCACTTGTTACCAAATGTCGCGCGTGCGCAATGTTCTTGGACACATTTTTGATGTGTAAGTCCAACACTGGAGAAAAAGACATTTTTCCTACTTCGTTTAATTTGGAAAACAATAGAACGATTGCATGCTAAATCGATTGTACCTAATGGTGTAATTAATTTTAATTTTAATTTTAATTTTATGCTCTATATCGACACGTTTCATTATTGCTGAAAAAAGGAATCGAGCCTGCCTAGCTTACTGAGGGGGAAATGGCAACCATCTCCAAGTATGATTACAAGAAGCAGAAGTCACAACGAACACAAGATGACTTGCAGAGGCGAGGGCAACAACGTTATTAGCCGTAAATCTCCAACATCTCTTGGATATCAAAGAGCTGTCCCCCACGGCAAGGCAAGCCTTGGAAAGGTTTGATCTTTTTCTTAATCCCTATTTTCCATATTTCATCTTCTTCCTCGGAGATTAGAGTGATACGAGTTGCATTTCTGCTTCATTAAATGCAAATCAATCTCATGTTCGGGCTGCCCACAAGGGCTTCGATTGGCTCGTGTTCTTACTAGGGTAACAAAATTACTGAGATAAATAAGAAGACTAACAATGCAAGACTATGCAGTGCGTAACCTTTTGGTGTCTGACAGATAATTACAAGTAGAGAGTTTTTTGAACATGGATAGTACGATTTGATTAAAATCAAATTTTTGGATACAGATGACAGAGAAAATGAAAAGTCTCTTGTACACAGCCCAGGGAAATCAACCTCTCAACCACTTGCTCAAGCACTCTCTACTCAGATAGCAGCGCAACAAAGTTAAGTTCTACAGCAATTCACCCTGCGTCTTCGATATCAGAGAGGCGAGAAGACAGAGAACTATTCAGCTTGATTGATGGAGCAGGTTGCTGAAGACGTCAGCACCACTATTCATTTCAAATTTAGATTGCTAGCTGTATAGAATTCGTGCCCTTTCTTCCATCTGGGAAAATAATCACAACAATGCGGCATAAAATGGCATGAGATCATCCTTTCAGTTGCATTATTGATCAATTCTTTCAAATAGTGGCTTCCAAATTGCGTGGCTAGTGCAGCGGAATCAATCAATCACATGTATAATAATCCTTAAAAAGGTCTTGTGAGTTGTGAGTAATACTGCAAAGCCCAAAAAATCCGAGTGCAATGAATATACAGAAGAATAACTCGGTCATCCAAAAGGAAGGATGAGCATCCGGTCCAGAAACCCAGAACCGGCTTAGACCAAGATTGCAATTGTGGTCTACCAATGTATAAACTTTTCAATAACCACTTGACCAACACTAGTTCTTCATTGTGGGCTATGTACTATATAGCCATGCACGCAATGATACCTGCTCGATGGGGAACAAACACGAAACGACAGAGGAAACCTTAAGAGTGTAATCAGAAGCCATTACATTGGTTTAAGATCTCTACCTTGCTCCCATCTTTATGAGAAAAATGGATGCTAAGGGCCTTGAGCACAGCGTGAGACTTCGAGTACATGATTCAGGCAGCACCGAGAATGCGAAGGAGGATTCGAAAGCGCCTGGACAGACCCGGATGTAGTTAGTAGCCCGGGTAGACCAAATTTTCGTCGGTTTCACATCTATTTTCCTTCATCTATCCCTCAGGCCGATTCGGACTTGATTTACTGTCGGCCAAGGAAAACCCGAATTCTCTCCTCTTCTTGTTTCCTAGCTCGGAGGTCTCGGACGACGACACCAAACACAGTGACCAGCACAGCTCTCTCTCTCGAGGGAGGACCAATCACTTCTAACGTTTTCCTTTATAATACTTTCCCTCACTCGCGTGTCTCGTCTCTCGCTCTCGGTGAATTCATCGTTTCCTTCCTTTGTGTCTTTTCATTTGCTTCTTCTGCTCCATTCACCAACCCCACCAAGAATGCATCCTGCTCTCCCCTTTCTGTCTTCGTTTTTCCTTTGCTCTCTAGTGGGCGTTCGTGTACACGTATCCTTTTGCAATGGCCGTGCATGCGTACATGTAGCTATGGTGGCCATTGGTGATCTCGATAAACCTCCCCGCATCATGCCAAAACCAGAGGAGCATCTCCTGGAAAATTTCCCTATCTCTCTCCCTGGAATATCTAGTCTCTCTTCATTCGAATGACACTCCTCTCCAATCCTGGTCCAATCTTCCGCTCATCCTTCCCCGGAAATCCCTCCATCTTCTTGTTCCTTTCCCTCTCAACCTCGGCAGCATTCCTTCCTGGAAAGCTGAGATGTCTCCACATCTTTGCCTTGCTCAGCATTCCACGCCATTCGAACGAAGAGATGAGCCGGGTTACAAAGAGGGCACGCGGGCTTGACGTATAGAGTCATGCGGGTTTGGGCTTCGCACGAAGAGTACGGCCTCATTCAACACCACAATGATCCGTTCAATCCGGGTCGGGTACTCTGCTTCCACCACAGACCTATAAAAAAAAATATCCTTGCTTTGCGAAAAAAAAAAATTCAGATCCGTTCGCAAATCGGGTCGGTTCACAAAAAGTCGCAGTAGAAAAGTTGGTAAAATTAGAAAAAAAAAATAAAAATTGTTGAGTAATTTATATGAGAGCTCGTAATGCAAAGAGCTAGTTCGTAATTTAACTTGACAAAAAGGCAATAAATCGCTCTAATTTAGGTTGGTATTTATATGATCTATTCATTATTAAGGGATCCCGATACTTCTTTCTTTCCAAAAATATCCTCAATATGCTATTTTATAAATATTCTATCAATTAGACAATTAAATAAATAAATAATTTCATTTTATCTCTCATATATTTTAATTTTAATATTTGAATCTTCTACATTCTATAAACAAACATACCGGATAATGTAATCTTGAAATATTATTCACTTTCTTATGTCTGTATAATCTTTTCGTGTTGTGTCAATTTCTTTCCACTATTTATTAATTAAAATAATTTACAAGAAGACGATTTTTTAAAATTTCGTAAATGACAATTTCAGCATTCACGAAAAGCCCGCGCACTTTTGCTAGTAATTAGTAAATCTGAAGCGTTGATATATATAACTAAAAGTTGGCGAGTTAGTTTAAAAAAATGGTAACTTGCATACAATTTGAAAAAGAAAAAAAGAATTGATATAAAAGTGTTGATAAGTTAGTAACAAGTTATGTGAAAAGGAAAATCATGTTTTAAACACTTACCAATACTTAATGAAAAATTCTTTCTTATGAGACACAAAACAAAAGAATCCTGCATGGTGCATTTCATTGAGGAGTGCATAGCATGTCATCTCTATCCGTGGAACATAATTCAGCACAATTGTCTATGTCGCCATCCATAAGCTAACAAAGGAGGAGAACAATCATTCCTTTCTTATTGGGACCAAAAGTACGATAGCATGGATCTTCACATAAACATCGACAGATCATCCATGGCAATCGAATAAACATGTGCAGCTTCTCGTGTTTGTGCAGGCGCCGTAGGACGGTTGCTTGTACGCAGCTCTGCACTTGGAGTTGCGACAGGCCTCGACGCAATGCCGATCGGGCACGGTCACCTGGCACAATTCGGATGGGTCTATGGAAGTGGAAACTATCTGATGCTGGTTTACCTGAACCGTTGATGCGAAAAGCGAAACTTACAAATACCGATCAGCTTAGCAAGTATGGTCTGACATTACCAGAAGATATGACACGATGAGGACGAAAAAGATGATGGCGATGGTGACGAAGGAGTACTTCATGCTCGATCAGGTGGTGGCTCGAGTTCTCTCCTTGAGGCAGGCCGGACATATCTATCCTGCTGAAGTTCTTGGGTATCACTTGGGTATAAATACTGAATAGTCATGGGAAATGAGATGAACACAAGGAATTCTCTTGATTAGCGATTCGGGTCACTATATTTTCGTAAGTGAACGTGCATCTTGGGCTGTCGAGGTCTCCTCATCGACTCAGTCTGGCTTCATATACGCGACACACAGCGTATGTCGTCACACTCGCATTTCCAGATTCTACTGTATATTTTTGTTCTTATCAAGCATTAACTTGATATAAACATCGCTCCTTACCAAAAAAAAAAACTTGTTTCTGCAGTCTTCTTACTAAGCCCCAAGATCACAACAACCGCTTTGCAAATCATAGCTTTCCTTTTTCTTTTACCCCTACTTGAAGGTGAGCATATGTCATGGTTATTTCACATCCTAACATCAATCGAAAAGATCTCAACTATAAGGCTTCGATTGGGAGATGCACTCTGAATATTCTTGAGGCAAATATCTAGTGATAAGGTCTATTTCGAAGTGAAAAAAACAAGAAACAAATTCGCCAATTCACTCAATAAGCTGGTCTGTACATCTGTAAAGAAGAGAAATCACAAATTTGATCTATCTATACGATTATTTTGGAGGGAACATAAACAACAAAACTCAATATCAAGCAATTTGCATCAAGTCATCCCAATTTAGAGAGAGAGAGAGGCCCGAACTCTCTTGGAACAGCCGGCTGGTGGAGGCGGCGGTGCATGGCGGAGGAGCGGCGGAGGAGGCTAAAGAGAGAGAGAGAGAGAAGAGAGAGAGAGAGAGAGAGAGAGAGAGAGAGAGAGAACTCGGTGGTGGTGGGGGAATAAAAAGAGTGAGCGAAGGGGAGACGATGGCGCGAGAGGGGGAGGCGAGTTCGCGCGCGGGTTCCTGAAAATTTTCGAAAAAAGAGGAAAAAAACGTGCGTTTGTCATTGCTGTTGCTGTGGTTGTAGTCTGAAAAGGCAGGCGACGAAAAGGGAGAGTAAGATCTAGTCCCTGGACACAGGTTGGATGGTGTTTTAGATATTATTAACTTTCTAATTTCAATTGGGTCTGACAAAAAAAAATTATTAATTGGTTCGGGCCGTCGGAACAGGTTCTTTATTTTTTGAAACTTCGAACCTACTCTACATTAGGGGTGAGCATGATTCTAGATAAAACATAGAATTGGATAACCGGACTGGTGGGAACCTATTCGTTTCTAGGTTCCAAGGCATGTATGGTAGGTTTCAAAATTCAAAAATTCAGGAACCTGTTTCGACGAGTAGGTTTCAAGTTCTAAGTATATGGAATCTGGAACACATATTTTTTTGTCAATTCTAAATGCACCATAATTTTCATTGAATCATTAATAAAAAGAAAATTATCCACTGCAATAATAACAGGTTGCATATGTAGCTTAATAAAAGATATTGTTCATTCAGTTGCTTGGCTCCCCTGAAAAAGGTTACTCTCTTGAAAAAATATTTTACCTGAATCAGACAATAAAAGTTTTCAATTGCATCAATAAGAAAGTCATTATTCACTTAAAACACGTATATATCAAGGAATAAGTTTCAATGTTTAGTGCGAGAAACACCAAATGAACTTGTTCACATGATTGATTATTGTTCTCCATTCGCAGTTTCATTATCAATAGATACATTTAAGCAATTTGGGTCCTTTTCAATATTATCTTCCAATAAAATATGAGTAAATTGAGTATAATGCATTCATCAACCACAATATTCAATCTTTGAGTAAATTTTCGTAAATTTGTACCAAAAATCAAAGTCGAAAAATTCACGATCATGAGGATTATTCGGAGAAATAAAGTTAATAATTGTTGATATAAGTTTAGAAGAAGACAGACATGAAGGAAACCTTGCAATGAATGGGTGTGGAAGATGAGGCTAGAGTGAAAAAAAATTATTTGAAAGGAATGTGAGTAGTTTTGTCTTTTAATATAATATAAAGCAAAAGAAAAAGAAGAAAAAATCCAAGAAATAATCTTAAATTAAAAGTGAGATCCGCAAAGAATAATGTAGTCAGTTCAATGTGATGGAGAATGCCAGACACCAATAACAGAGAGAGAGTTTGCGCGGGTCACCGAACAATTTTTCCCTCACATGGCAAGGAAAGTTAGGATGTTATTATGCGATAGCAGGTTTTCACGTGAGAATGGTATTTGCCTCAATTTGAAACCCAAAATCCATTGATCTACTATTTCTTAAGAAAAAATTACTAAATAGTTTGTTGAATTTCTACAAAAGAAAACTTGTGCACTTTAACTTATC